TTGTCAATAGATGGCAGTACCACAATATGGGCAGCGGATCGTGCAATTGACGTCAAATTTTCGTTATCTGCTAAGAATTGAATGGCGGATCTTTTCATGCAAGAATCAAGTAAATCGGTCCACAACTTTTCTAGCAACAGAGATATGTAGTCAAACACCCTGCCAGAGCGGCGGCGCGGCGGCCGGCGGCAGCCTGGGAGACTGGCGGGGGCGCTGAACGGTTCCGACTTGGCACTGCACTAAAACCTGTTAACTGCTTGGAATAGTTATTATAGCAATATTTTCATTCAAGTGAGGGATAACCAAGGGCAGGAAGTATGTATGCTTGTGTGCGTGCTATGTAAGCCAAGAAACTGCATTAGCAGATACTCGCTAACATTAGATCCAGCCAAGTCCAAACGCATTCCAGGGGATGTGTTCCTGATGGGTCAACAATATTTATCGTTCGAGGGCGGATACAGTTTTAACAATACAAAAAATATTTTTGCACAGCTCTATTCCTTGAATAATTCTCTTCAACGCCTCATTCCTAGTTAAGCGAATTAGCCCACCCTGGTTGAATAAATAAGGCGATTTCGCCACAAGGTCGCGGAAAACCGACCGAAAACGGCCGCGCTCAACGTTAATTTGGGCATGCAGGCCAGTGTTCGCCACGGGCCGGGCCAGCCCAACGGGCCACGGGCCGGGCTGGGCTACGGGCTGGGCCGGGCCCCCAAATATCATTAGTTAACGGGCTATGGATGGGCCGGGCCAAGAACTTTGTGCACTATGGGTTTTGCGACTAATGTCAATTTAAGAAAATTTGGAAACTGATGCAAACAAAACCCACTGGGAAAATACAAAAACTAAACCAAATTTAAGCAATGTGAAAGAAAACCTACTTGATATTGAATTTTGGGAATCTTGAGAATTATCCAATATCACATCATGTCACACATAGGAGGGTTTTCATAAAAATTCCGCAACCAAAAAGATCAGAGAATCTCTAGCATCATTAGTTTGTTAATAAAAGTTAAAATGTAGTCATCAGAACAACTTACTTAGCACTACAACTCCAAAAACTAAGAAGCCACTCAACAATGATGGGCTACAGGGCTACATTAAGTTAACACTTATATATGGCGATAGTGAGACAATTCCAACACAGTCTTTTTTCCTTCACCGACGGCTTTTTAACGAACAGAACCTTAAAAGGATACTCACAAAACACACTGTAAGTAACGAGGAACTCTACAGAGTATTTCGCGATGAAAGCTTCTTTAAATGTCCATAAATTTGTCAAAATAAATCACAACAAACCAGCCCCTTCTCAACAAAATGTGCAATCATGGCGGCGGCGCTATGTTTATGTGGCGGCATCTAGGTAGTATACACAACAGTATATCAAATAAATACGTTTTTTAAGTGAGTATCAAGGTGAAAACAAAATTAAACCAATGAAAAATAAAACCAAAATCACGAAGTCTGAAAACTCGAACGAAAAACAAAACAAAAACTTGATCATATATGTTTTATTATACAATTCGTCAGAATCGCTACCTGCCGCAGCTGCGACAATCAAGAAGTGTTCGCTCATTTTCGATTGATGATGATGATGCGTACAAGTCGCAAAAGTACCCAATGACATTTCAAGCTTACCATGTTTTCTGCTTACGCTGCTAGCGATATCCATATCTTGAAAAGAGCCTAACATAAAATAGCAAGGAAAGTAGCAGATAGTTGTCCACAGAGATTCGGTTGACACGTGGGCATGAATTGAAAATAGATTAAATCAGTTTTGCTGATAAATGGATGGATTTTCTCTTTTTTTGGAAGACAGTGCTAAAGTTAGTGTCACCTATTTTGTATGCTTTCTCAGGCTTTTGATATTGCAGCATCTATGGAGTGAATTTAACAGCAAGGTCAATCCCAGACAGATTCATCAATTCCCATAAGTCAAGCTTTTTTTCTGCTGGTAAGTGCTGGGAAGTATAGAGTATGTTGCAAATACTTCCTTCAAGTATGCATTAGAGTCACCAATTATTAATGATAATGTTCACACACATCAGCTTGCAAGATAACTTTACTCATAGAATGTAGTTAATATAATCATGTAAACTTTTTATAGGTGTGTAATCATGACCTAATTGACTGAGGTGCTTGCTGTTACTGTTAAAATTTGTGCCATAGGTGCTTGAAATGGTTATATTCATTGAAAAGAAGGGAGTCATGATTGCCATGTTAATATTCATGCAATTTGAATTGTTCTCAAAATAGTGTAATCAATCATGCTTATTATAGCCATAGACTAAGACAATAACTAGATTGCTATTTTTGACGGGCCGGGCCGGGCTGGGCTTGGAATATTTGCCAAGAGCGGGCTACGGGCTGGGCCGGGCTCTGAACCCATGGGCCCGGGCCGGGCTGGGCTGGGGATTTTGGGGCCCGTGGCGAACACTGATGCAGGCTCTTAAATACTCGCATTGGGCGGGTAGGGTTTCCCAGGTATTGGCTCCAAAACACCGTATTCGGCTCCCGAATACGTCCAAGTGACCCACCTCGTTCCTAGTTAAGCTCTAATTAGATCAAGTGACTCATAAGGAGCGAAAAAGCGACAAAAAGCATGAATTTCCCTATGGCGGCGGGCTGCCGGGTTGCCAGACGGCGCACCGGCTATTTCCACTTTTGACACACCATGTGTAGAATGCGTGCCACAGACAACTAACTCACTTATTGACCACCACCCATTCACTCACTCCATGCTTCTTACCCATAGTTCATTATCACTTGCCTTCGCGATATTCTAATAAAGTTGCATAGGACTAAGAATGTAATAATCTCTTCATTATTCATCACGGGCTGAGGGACACAGCACCAAAAAGCGGAACACTGTTTGACTAAGCACCTCATACAAGCTATTCAGCTTTTGACAAGTTCATTTGGCGTGCATCATTTGTCACAGTGTTGTTGGCAGAGATGAGTAATGTGCCGGACCTGTTTGCATTCTACATTGATCAGCCGGAAGCTGTGGGAGGGTAGGGAAGGGGATATGGGGGACAAATCGTTACGGTGGCTGATAGTGGAGACGGGCAGCGGGTGGCGTTATGTGCTGCATTTGCATCTGACACTGCAGACTCCTCAAAACTGTAGCTTTCTCCACTATTAAAGGCTTCTCGTTATTTTCATCAAAATAGGTGCGCTGGGAGCGCTAAGCATTGGTTGACGCGACGTGCTTATTTCATTAAATGAATTAACACCAGTCAGCAAACACCCCCGGCTTACAATCGTGCATTGTATGTGTTGATCAAGTTAATTAGCCCGCGCCTTTGTGTTGGGAGCAATTAGTCGAGCACTACCATGCCTGAACAATAGGCAGCAACCCAGGCTAGCTGAAATGCAGGTCAAGGAGGTCAAGGTCAAGTTGGATTTCTTTAAGTTAACTTTTTAGGGGGCACCCTGCTTTACCGCAATTTTTTGTCTGCAGAGTGTTCATATGCCCAGCACAGCGAATATGACAGCCTCCGTTATCTTCCAACCGGGGAGGTGCTTCCTAGTTCCTTCGCCCCACTCTGTGTGGTAATCTATTGTCTTTTTGCTCCTGGCGCCGGGTGCTTGAATGAGTGATGCTGACAATTTGCTGGCGGCGTCTCCAAGGGACTGCAGATGCTGTTTTCTCACCGCATGGTCTGTGTGGTGTTCTCGCAGCGTCTGAGTGAAATGGTGTGCTGGGAGGTGACATGCTGTATCGAGAAAATACGTATAAGGGCGCTGCCGGAGACAGGCTTTTAAGGAGAGAGTTTGTGGTATTTGTTCAGATGGACGTAAACACTCAAGGTGCAAATTCAAAGTTTCGTCGGAGAAAGTTTTTATTTCATCATTTCTTTTAGTTTATCGTGTCAAAGTTTTAAGAGTTCAGAAGTGCAGATTCTTTGCTTCAACAGATCATCAAACAGTATTATTATATTATGGAACAGTTTTATAATTTCCATCGTCTTGTTGCTCCCTGCTTGAATTACTCACACACAGATAAATGTATGGAGGTCAAATTGTGTCACAGCTTGGTATAAATCACCTCGATTTATGCCGCATGACCTTCTCATATAAAACAACGTCTGCAGAATAGGCACTGGCCGATTTATGTGAAGTGTGAAATAGAGGATGTTTGAAGACGGCTTGATTCAATAATGAAAACCCATCAAACGAGATCAGGAACTTTGCACAAAAAGAAGAGACCGAAGCGCTAAAAGAGATGAAGTAAAACTATTTTAATCATATTTGGCTTTATAATATATCAGACTTGATAAATGCAATTGAAGACTTGGCGGATATTTTCAGTGTCTCAATTAGTTGGGAGAACTTTAAAATCTCTTTTCATCGAAATTAAAACTGACCGCTGCCACCTTACCTTCCTCATTTCGATCTCAACCATCGCACCCGCAGCCTACGTGCCGATCGACAGCCTCGCGCCGCTACGCGCCCCTACCTGCACTTCCGGCGACCATTCTCACGGCATTACGCCTCGTCAATGGGTCGCATTGTGCGGCCGCTCACACCGGCATTGTTCCGAGCTCCTGCGGATGACATGCCGCTCCTGTCCTTCCACTGTGTTTGTATGTCTCCGTTTGTCGTGTCTGTGTGTGTGGGGGGGGGGTTGTGTTTGTGTGTGTTCTTCGGGGAGTTACAGATGTGACTGCTTTCAGCAGTTCCGATAGGTTCCGCGGCCGCATCGCACCAAGTTTATGTAATGTCTTTCCATTCCATTGATCCTGCTTGGCTGGCTAGCGCATGTAATATCATAACGTCATCTCTCATGTATAACAGCGAGTGTCGGTGCTGGCATGTGGACTGTGGATCTTCCAGCCTTCACACCCATTCATCTAAGCATATAGCATTATGGCAAATGCATTATACTTCTTCGTGTCTGTGGCCAGTCATGGAAGGATCTTCTGACGACTTTTCCAGCATACGGTGTACTGATTTGGCATGGGGCTCTGTTAACTCCATTTTCCTTTGTATTTCAGTGTGTGTCGGTGGCCGGCCTGGGTTTTCGTCGCGGCAGCTACAAGTGCCAGTGTCGTGACGGCTTCTACTTTCCCGAGCCGGGCCCGTACCGCTACTACAACGGAACCGTCATTGAAGACGAGTTTGAGAAGAAACTGCAGGTGAGGTCAACACGCGATCGGAGGGGGGAGCGTGCGGAAAACGTGGAGCACAGCGCTGGACAGTGGACATGCAGACAGTAACAAAACATGATTGGCCTAATGCTTTTTATAACAGGCCTAGCATTTTAAAATGTCCGTAAAGCGGAAATCTTGGGTAACTAGTTACGTTTGAGTTTGTATAAAGCATAGCGTTAGCGTTAAAACCAAGTTCAAAACAAAACAACTGCACTTAGATTCATTATTGATTTATGCCAATTGCTAAATGGGTCTTTTGTGAGATTCACGAACTTCAGCTACTAAAAACACCTATTGTTTCGTCGGAGGGAGTTTGCCGTGAGCTTAGGATGAACTTTGATGAGATAGGATGAGCAATTGGATTGCTTGGTTGAAGCCGGATGAGGCTTCGAAAGCTCAGGGAAACCACCGTACAAAGCCATTTAATTTGTCTTTCGTGTGGCCAAGTGAATAAGGCGATCTTCTTCTTAGTCGGTTTGCATGATATAAGGTGGCCATTGGCAGAAAATTTGGATAAATATTAAAGACGTAAAGCGATAAAAGCCAGCATTCTTCTGTAATATGTAGTAACTTTCCATAGGCTATCTTTCATTTATTTTTCAGTCTACATTGCGCGTATTTAAAGAATTGTTTATAGCAGAAGACCTGGCCGCCAGACCTAGGAGGATGGTTGATACCGGGCCTATTGTCGCATATCATATTCAGGGCCATAGAACCAAAAGAAAGCGCGCGTATGTAAGTTGTTGGCTGTCGAGCACATTCGTCTATGTCACAAGTAGCCTAATGTTTGGTCAGCATAGGACTGTATATAATGATGCTGACTGGCAGAAAGCCGTATGCCACATTCGATACATTATCAGCATCGGCTGTAGTTTGCCCGTCAGTGTTCGGTTAGTTCTATTATCGGCGCAAACATCAGCTTAAAGGCACGAACTGTCAGTAGCCACTAGCCAGTAAGCATTGGTGTGCGGACGCCTAACCGGTATAGATCTGTTCAGGATGGGCTATTTTGTGATAAGTGCCTATTCGGCTAATGGTAAATTTTTTTTTGGAGGTGAGCTATGGCTAGTTTGAGCATTATTATGAATATTATGATGGTAGAAAATGACCTTATGCTCATGATACAATGAAATGATATTAAAATAAGTCCAAAAAATATTATGATATATTTCGACTTGCGTCGTCTTCAGAATGTACATTTTCAGAATTGTCGACGAGCAAATTCAAATCCTTTCAAAATAGCGTGCATCATTTTTGTGAGATCTCTGGCTAACAAATTACAGTCAGGTCATACCTATAATAAATTTTAGCAGCGTACAATACAATGAATACAATATCACTGAATAATAATTGGATAAATATTGTCAATGCTACACAATACCTAAAAGTGACACAGGCATATGTTGTTTGTGTAGCACGCCAAAATCGCGAAAATGCAAAACCTATGCAATTGCAGAGTGATTGACATGATAAGATGCATTCATACACTTAATTACACATGTTTCAGGTGCGTACAACTAATACATATATACAGCAGAGTAAACATGACAACAGTGTAGAGCTCGTTGAGGTGGTGCACGAGTGGGGGGGGGGACGCTGTCAACTGCGTCTACCCAAAATCAAACTAGTACAAATGGCGATGAAAGACGCACCTAACAAGTACAAGTTCTTCAAGTGAGACAAATAAAAAGAATGAATAAGCCAATAGAGACATGCTGACAAAAAAGAGGACGGAAGGCCAAGCATAGAACAATGCCTATGTGGGAGTGTAGGGAAGGGGATGGAGAAGGGGCCAGGATGAGGTTTGTGTGTTTAGGCATGGTTTTTGGTTTCTTATTTCAACAGATTCTGCTATTTTCAGATCAGCCACATCTTTACATACTCTCTCTATGCTAATTTTGAATGAGGATGACGATATACTACATGATGGGTGGTTGAGGTTGACATGGTCTCCAAGAGGGGTGTTTTTGGTCTTGTTTTTAGCATCCCGTAGATGCTCATTAAATCTTTCGCGGACTCTCCTTTTTGATTCACCTATGTACACAGCGGGTTTCTCATCACACAGGTTACATGTGATTTTATATACAACATTTTTGGTATGACAGCGGCTACGAAGGCCTGCTTCACAGGTGTGACATCTCTTTGATCCAGCAGGGCACGGAGGACTTTCGAGACCTGACCGTATCATATGCTTGGACACCGTTTTCCCGCTGACCCATGCGACCTGTGCCTTCAGACCAGACGAGCGCACCGCACCGTTCACTCGGCGCGCTAGTGTTTCGTCAATGTACGGGAGCGATATGTAGGTCGTGTCATTTTTGTTGCGTCCAGTGGTGTTGTGTTTGTGACCTTTCTGTGTGTGGTGCATGATCTTGTGCTTAGTTCTCTGTATGAGTTTGTTGGGGTACCTCAACGAGCTCTACACTGTTGTCATGTTTACTCTGCTGCATATATGTATTAGTTGTACGCACCTGAAACATGTGTAATTAAGTGTATGAATGCATCTTATCATGTCAATCACTCTGCAATTGCATAGGTTTTGCATTTTCGCGATTTTGGCGTGCTACACAAACAACATATGCCTGTGTCACTTTTAGGTATTGTGTAGCATTGACAATATTTATCCAATTATTATTCAGTGATATTGTATTCATTGTATTGTACGCTGCTAAAATTTATTATAGGTATGACCTGACTGTAATTTGTTAGCCAGAGATCTCACAAAAATGATGCACGCTATTTTGAAAGGATTTGAATTTGCTCGTCGACAATTCTGAAAATGTACATTCTGAAGACGACGCAAGTCGAAATATATCATAATATTTTTTGGACTTATTTTAATATCATTTCATTGTATCATGAGCATAAGGTCATTTTCTACCATCATAATAATGGTAAATTTTGTTCAGACAGCAAAGCCATGTATGCATTGGCGATATTTCGTTACCAATATCTTGGCAATAACCAGCTTATGTGGTGCCGGTGCAATGGCCAATGCGACGTGTAAAAAGTTGTCGTGGGGCGTTAAGTATGTTGTGCCTGATCTCACGGTGAAAAAAAATAAGCCTTCGATACTTTTGAAGTTATAAAGTTGCAATAGGTATAGCATGCAGACCCGGCGGTATTATACACGTTACCCCATGTATGACCCCGGGCATCCTCTTCCCTCAGGGTCTACCGTCGCGGTACGACGACCCGGACATGTTCGAGTGTCTGCCCTGCGCGGAGGGATGTGACACGTGCGAGGATGGCCGTCCGTGCCTACTCACCCTGAACTGGGTGATGCGCACCACCATCCTCATCCTGGCCGCCGTCATCATCGGCATGCTGCCCTTCTTCGTCTTCTTCACTGTCAAGTACGGAGAGATCAAGGTGAGAGCTGGGCGCTATAATCAGCGAGGTGGATCCGGAATAGAGCAGGTGTACCTACTTATTACGCCGATATGTCTGTACCTACTTGTTAGGCCAATACCTACTTGTTAGGCGACATACATACGTATGTCGATGTATGCATCGACATACGTATATAGATATACGTATGTCATGATGCGAAGATGTCAGTATAGCGATGCTGCTAGAGCATGTTAGTCGATAGGAAGTATGATGTGATGACACATTCGCACGACTGGATAAACTTTGTCAGACAAGTTCTTTGAAAAATATGTGGGAATAAGAAATTCCCCTGTTACTGCTTTATGCTGCGCTACATGGACAAATAATGGCCTTACCTTGAGCTAAAAACGGGTGCAAAAAAGAGCGAATAAAGATACAGCCGCATGGAGCGTTATAACGACCCTCGCCTGACGCAATGATTTGGCTGGTTCAGTGAGCGTAACTTATAACATTTTACATTGTTTTTTTACACTTCTGATCAGTGAGTGTATCCACCCTCAGAACAACACATTTAGAGCGATTTTTTCCTAAGAGAGCAACACTTATTTACTTGTATCAAACAAGATTATACTTCATGCTGCTTATGCCGACGGAAGATTGAAGAATACGAATGAGTATTTCTTCATCCCTTGATAGATATACCATGTTATACTCGAAGTACCAGTAACCGTTTGACGTCGCAACTCGAAAAATATACAGTAATTGATGAGAACCAATGAAACTATTCGTGGCCAAGCTTTCTGCATCAATGTCCGCGCGGCCCCGTAGTCAACAACAGAGCCCCGCCCGTCAGTCATCGTTCAACCATTCAGTGAGTGCACACTGCACAAGCATTCAAAGGCATATTACACAGACCATCCGAATCGCATTACCAATAGCATGGCGTACGTATTGAAAGAATGTGTGCCATAATTGAGGCCACTACAAAATACACAAAAATTGCAAGGAAATGATATAAAAGTGAGAAATGCAAACGTGAAAATAATTTGCCGGAGGCGCCTGTCCTCGGAGGTGGCGTTCGCTAATATGGCAGCACGCGGTGCCAGAGGCGTCCGTCGCGCCTGTTGTCTGCAGCTGCGGGCCGCCGGCGGCTCCTGTGACAATTAACGGCCAAATAAATCCTGCGACGGCGTCAGTTAATGCGGCCGGCTTCGTTCCAGGTGTGAAATACGGTCTGCTCTGGCCGACCTCGGGCTGTCACAATAGAGACCCCAGATTTCGGGGAGTTAACAATTCAGGACTCTGGGTATTACATCTAATATCCAGCCCGCCCGTCCCGCCTGTGCAATGCGAAATGCATCAAGATGTCGGGAAGGCACGCAGAGAACTATGGAGGGAGAGTAAGAGGGAGAGAAGGAGAGAAAGACAACCACAGATTAACGGCATTAGGATGTGACTTACGACAGGTGATGGCTTCAGGCTTTGAAAGAGGAAAAATAATGACAGGGAAGAAGTTTTTTTGTATGCATCGTCCTTGTTACGTGCATAACCAAGAAAAAAAACATCATAACGATGAAGTCAAAGAACATGCATATTTGACTCAAACTAGTCTCTTGCCGGGAGGTAAGCACCCACTCGCACTGTTGGGTTCGGTCCGTCTCCGTGGCTAGGTAGACTGTGCCGCAGTACTTCACTGTGATGCGGGACAGCATAGTAGTAGTTTATTAAAAAGCCATCCACAAGACAAGTGGCTATTATGGCCTTCACGTCAATAAAATCGGATCATAACATGCGGGGTAAAATACACACTCACGATGTTACACAACCTAAAATACATATAGCTCAGGATAAAAAAGCATAGCATACGTGAAGTCCGGATCACGATGTGCCGATGAAGCATGCCTGTTGATTTACACCGTGTGTATCGGGGGAATGTTTCTCCTATATCCCGTGCAAAACTAGGCTGTTGGTGTTTTAAAAAGTCAGCTCTTTCGAACACTCCAATTTAATTTACATAAGATGAAACTGAATGCTGAATATTGCCGTAATTTGCACCGACCGCTTCACACATGCCAGGCGATGCTCTAAATCCGTATTACGTTTTCAAAAGATCGTCCGGGGCTGCCGAGCTTTGATCGTGTCTTACAATTGATTCCATATCAGCTGTGCTGGTGGCTTGTTCTGGCACTGACATGACTCGTCTTTTGGCAGGTGGTTCGAGCGGCAAGTCCCACACTTCTGAGAATTATCATACTGGGGGCATTCTTCATCTACTCAACGGTGAGTTAAGTTTTGCTGAACTATACCGGCCTCGAACCATGCTTTTCATCTCCCGCTGATGCTAAACCAACAAGGATGCTGGTCTAAAAACTTGTGCCTTATAACGTTATTAGAAACATTCACACCGTTCCGTCTTTCCCATCCTCAGGATAGTCAAATCCTTCTCCTCCACACCTCAACCCCCTGCTCCGGGTTGGACGGGCAACTTTATCCCATGCGGGAAGCTCCCATAGGAGTACGCCCGTAGCCGGGTGCAGAGAGTGCTGGGGGGGGGGGGGTGAGGGGGGCTGCTCGGCCTGTCCATTCGGACGGGCTCAGCCCCGGCGACTCTCCAGGGTGTCTGCCAAGACCAATGTCTCCCCCATATTCCTATCATCCTTCCGAGTTCCGACTCTGAAATGGTCTTGTCAGACCGGAAGGGCCTAACCCAACAAAACAAAACAAATTAACATTCATATAAAAGCAGTTCTGTGCAAATGCAGGTATATACAAGCTTCACGCGAATAGGTATTATATATTCCCGACCGGGGCTGGGAAAATGCGTTTTATTCACCGAGGTTTTTGTGCGGAGGACCGAGTGCCGGTAGGCACGAGGTCCGTAGCCAAAAACCGAGGTGAATAAAACTGCATTTTCACAGCCCAAGGTTGGGAAGAGATTTACCACATGCCGTACCGGCGCAACAGTTAGGATATCATATTCATTTGATATTTTACACTTAAATCTTAATATTGTGTTAATATTATTAATTAGTACTATGTTCATATTTATAGTCACCGTGATTATTTTTTGTGTTTTTCATTATTGGGCTGCGTTGAGCATGAAAGATGAAATTCCTACTTCCCCCATATTTAGGGTTTGAAAAAGCTGAGGATGAAGATGGTGAAGCGCCAGAAGTTAGAATAAAGATATGGAGTCCAGCAGGAGTGAGGAAACCGTGAGGAAAACTGAAAATTGGGTGAAACGCTGAATCAAACGCGTCTTGGATCCCAGCTGGAACAATATCAAATGTTTCATTGTGGCACGTTAAGATGCTTCACGCATTTAAATTGTTCGTTTTTTTGCGTGCATTATGTAGAAATAATGATTATTACGACCATGTTCTGCAGCAATAAATACATTGGCATTGGAACGATAACCTTGTTTAGTTGAATTACGTTGACAGCAAAAGTAAGTAAACACGCAGTCACTTACTTCTGCTGTTGCTGTTAGTGAACACACAATCCGTAAATATCTTCTTTGAAATTGGTTCTTCCGCTCAGAATATTCAGTAAAATTTTGTCTGGGAAAATCAAAAAGCCCTAGGGCCGAATCGTTTCCCAAATACCTTCAACATTAGCCGAGGCGGGCCGATGCCATTTCCCAAATGCACGTGCTAATGTTAAAGGGATATCTCGGCATGTGGTAATACAGTTTGAAACCACTATGTAGAAACCTTTTGAGTATACTTTACTATCTAATGCGTCGGCTTGTTTTCCAAGAAAGGCATTTATTTTGTTTGTGCGGTCGTTCGGTTGCCATTCGGACGACCCTAGATACTGACTTTTCATCACGGTGTGTATGCGGATTAATTTTAATCGGCCCTGAAAAACATTGGCCTTCTGAGGCCGTTGTTATGAACGCTGGAGAACCAGAATAGCTGAGCGATGTATCCCGCCCCACGGGCATATAAATTAGCTAGGTAAAACATTTAACGCTCCCTCGTTATGGATGAAAAATAGGGGAATAATATATGCTTCAGTTTACATACCATTCCTTATGTGGTTGGTCACACTCCAACAAGTACTTACCCTACACAATCAGATTGACATGACCAAGTGCATTCTAGACAAATGCTGCCATCTTTGTCGTGCATAAACGGATCGCATTGTATGCCCCTACACGAATTGATGGCAGTTTCGTTGAGCTAAAAAATAGCACTCATCAAACTTGAGTTTTGAAAGTCTCGACTGCCAGTCAACAACACACGCTAATTGGAGTGAATCAGTGCGTGTTGGCCTTCGAGGAGCGGCGATGGGAGGGCTGGCCTGCTAACAACCATAGCGTGTCCTCACGAAAACACTTGGGTCTAGGTCGTCACAGGAGGGTCTGTTGTTACTTACCGTTTCTTCCAAGCGTGGCAACGTGATGAATTAACCGCTTTGTTATGTTTCTGTTCGTTGTTTCTGTCCTGTTCATTATGAAGAAAATATAATATTTTCAAGTGAGTGATTTTGGTAGCAATTGGGCTATATTGAATGAACAATATGAAAAAGTTTACATTATAGGCACAAATCTAATTTCTAATTAAAAACATCCGCTTGATTTTGAAAACGGCGACAGTTTTCAAATGGTGCTGGGTGCTGACTCTCGTCATTAACGAAGCTATTAATTCATCTATTCATTCGCATTCGGACGAATGTAAAGTGACAAGTGGCGTAATTATATTCAACCGTTCAGTCTCCCTAGAAAAGCCACTCTGATTGCCAAAATCAAGCTCGGAAAGCCCACTTCCGATTTGATCCGATAGCTATTTCCGCTGGCACTTTTTTCGCAGATATTTTCCGCAATCAGGTGCTCACAGATAATACGAGTATCGTGTCTCATGAGCAACTGAGCATTACGTCTGGTTTACCGGTGATCGTACTCTACGAATACGTGGTATTTCTAGCTAACAGGTGATCGTGTTCGATGATTGTTTATCGTGTTCACAGACGATCGTGTCATACCCGGAGCCCAATGTGGTGACCTGCACCGTCCAATGCTGGCTGAGGGAGATCGGCTTCTCGCTCTCCTACGGCGCTCTCATGCTGAAAACATGGAGGTAAGCATCGCCTTAGTGGCTCAGTGAATGATTTCAGGGCTCGACAGAAGATAAACCTTTAAAACATAAAGCAACATGAGCCAGTTTTCCCCGTACAAACTTTTAAAGTTACAACTTATCCACTTCTTGTAGTTTCCTTCCTTGTCTGATGAGGAAGCCCCTTAGATAAAGCAGCCAATGCGCTTACGCTGAGAACTGCCAAACTTTGTTGTGCAAGCCTGGCAGCACTTAGGGCAATAAGTGGCAACTTCGAGCCTTGACAGTGGCAGTAACAAGGATTTGTTACAGCCTCTGAAGTAAACGGGGAAAGATCAGAGAATCAGTGCGAATCACGAATCCCTCTCCAACAAAGTATATTAACGCTAGTCATTGGCAATTAAACAGCTCTAACCAGAATATTCACTAGTCACTTTAGGATGTCGTGTTCCCCACCACACATACATACCACATCCCTGTGACAAGAATAGCCGATACATAGATAACATGAACTACCTGGATTGGACACTCGTTTTTGGCGCGAAAAATAAGAGGCCACTTTGGTCTCTTATTTTTAATGACGAATTTTTAATCGGTATTTTGAGGGCCGCCGCAGAGCCACGTGCCCGCCCGCACCTCTCTGGACCAGGCCGGGCCGAGTCAGCCAGTGGTCGGACGGCCCTGTCACGCTCGGTTCTGGTGAGCAGCAGCCGCCGCGCTGTCGGCTGAGCTGGGCCGGCCGTGCCCCGATCCCGGCCGGGCGGGTGGCCGCTGGGGCGCGCCGGGAGCGGTGACATGGGTCAGACGGCCGACTGGTGAGTGGCCGGACCGAACGGTCCCGACCCGGGCCGAGTAGCGCCGTCCGAGAGGTAGTTCATGTTATCTATGGCCGATATAATCGACAAGGATGGCCAATATTTGTCCATAATTGACACTGTTACCCATACATCATTCAAGCCCTCCGCTGACTCTTCTTACCCCCACCGCCAGGATATCCGTCATCTTCCGCGTGCGTTCTGCCAAGGCGGTCAAGATCACCGACCTGGACCTGCTGAAGCGTCTGGGTGTGCTGGTGGCCGGTTTCGCCACCCTGCTGGGAGTCAGGTCCATGGTGGCGCCGCCCTCTGTGGTGATCGCGCGCAGCGCAGACGGTCTGAAGACCCACCTGTGCCACACGGGCTGGTGGGATCACGCCTTCTCAGCCAGTGAGTTGAGGAGGGGAGTTCAATGGTGAGGTGTGGGTGGAAGTGACTGGAAAACGGTGGCCTTCTGGAAGGCGGTTATCGTTGTGGGGTGGTCGCTTTTGACGGGCAATTTATGGTCGGTGGATACTGTATGGAGGTGGATGATGCCTTACTGACATGCTGTGCTCATGTGGTACAGCATGCCATGGCATGCTGTGCTCATGAGGTACAGCATGCCAGTAACATGAGCACATGCATATACATACATATATACATATACATATACCTACATATACATATAGGTATATCATATATCCATCATCCATGATTCACATGCCAGTAACCTTATTGTTGACTTGCAAAATTATTCAGCACCGCATAGAAATTTAATGAGTGGAATTAATTTATACCGTGTCATAGTGAAGTGTCACATTTGATATATTGTCATTGAAATTTCAGGCAGGGTCTAAGCTTTCTTAGCTAATACTTTCCGTCTAGACAAATGATTTTATGACGACTTTGATCGAGGATCTAATGACATTTTGCTGTTATCGAGTATAAATCATACGATGTAATACGAGTGACATTTAGGCTTAAGTCCAGGAGCTCTTTATTTTTATAACTGTTATAGACGCAAATATCTAGTAAATGGGAATATCATTTGTTCAAAATATAAACTACACAATGGATAGGAACTGTAACAAGTTCTCACTAACTTACGGTTGCCAGCTATAAGCTTGTTCGCGGCTGTTTGATAGCTGAGTGGAACTGCACTCCGCTGACAGTCTCCTCCCTTTCGCAGCCGAGATGTTGTTTTTGGTGTGGGGTATCCGGCTGTGCATTGTCGTCCGCAAGGCGCCCTCGGAGTTCAACGAGAGCAAGTTCATCTCACTCACCATCTACAACGAGTTCTTACTGACGATTCTGCTCAACATTGCCACGTGAGTGCTCGGCACAATGTCACTCTTCGTTTCTATTGTGATGATTCTCGTTCTTCTTTCTCGCTTCCTTGCCGCAGGTATTCCTCGTTGTTTCGTACTCTCACCGTCAGCGTCATAGCTCGTCTTATTGCTGTGTTTGTGCGCCGCATTTGTGCGTTTCTCGCTACCACGTGTCACACGACTAGACGGTCCTGGGCCGGGCGCTTTGGTCACGTGTCGGCGCCATTGATGTCCCGTCTGAGGATAAATCACTTATCGAAGTACCGCACGCCATCGCGATACTGCGGGCCTCGTGACGTACCGCCGCCGCCGCAAGAAATTCCGACCTCATTGGTGATTCCTTTCGGTATTCGGTCATGACATGAGACTGGGTGCACGAGTGGAGTGAAGGCGAATCAGACGGTCGACGCGTGCCGGATGACGATGTTGATACAGTCGGTCTATCCGACCGATACCGGGGCGGGGACATTGGCATGCCTCACACGCCAGCGCAGCGGGAACGAAGGGCGTCAGCGGCGCTCAGAGACCTGTGCAGAGCCCATGGAGAGTGGCCAGCTACCCATGGATTGGCCATGAATATCGAATAATGCAGCGTATTAGCTCTCCCTTGGCAAGCTATTTTCGTCCTTGAAAAGCAAGCGATTTGTAAAAAGAGTTCAGGGGTGATTTGAATATATCCTTAAGCCAGGGTTGAGTGTAGATTCCCTTCAAAACTGTTGGTTTATAGGAGTCTTAGCACACATGGTTTTGGGTCTATCTATAGTTATTCATCTAACTAATTATCTTCCTCACCTTCACTCTAGCGTGCTTTCTTTCCTCTGTTTCGCATTTGCTTGCAACGTAGCTTTTGCGGCGTCATAAAGGAAGAATTGAGGGACATCATCGGTGGCCTATTTTTGGAAATAGTCACTTATCTCCTCTATGCATAACAGCAGCCTGTCTACAATGGGAAGATAAAGTGATCGGTTTCCACAATCGCTCGGTTTCCAAACACCCCTCATAGTCCCCACGACCCACTGACATGTTTTCCGTCTAGACACAAGGGACTGACTGTATGTACGCGCATTGTGCGATACACAGACGCTGCACAGTGCACACTGCAAATTCAACATCACAATTCACAAGTGATGGGACTACCTGCTAACCGTATCGGGAAGCACCGTGTCGTGTCCTGTGTGATTTGTTTTATTTGATGTTCTGTGATCTGAACCTACGGATCACTGGCACCTGAAGGAAAGCGATTTCAAAGATACGATTGCTAAAAACAGCAGTTCAAAGAGAAATGATGAAAAGACAATGGCCGTCAGAGAAAAAGTCAACAGCAAGCAGGTGTTAAATGCTCTGACCGTGAAAATGACACCACTTTCAAACGCAGGTACTGCGCCATGGCAGTTGGCATTTGTGATCCCATACGATGTGCAATACAACCCCAAACTGATAGGAACTGATGCCTAGGTTGAGCCCAGCAGCTACAGGTAGAGCTGTAGCTCGGAGCAATGTCTCGGACTCGAGAGGGGCTCGGCCGGTCTAGCTGCCGACCTCGGAGGCTCAGGGAGCGGCTGGGCGCCGCGCCGTCTCCCCGGCCAGCCCAGATCGATCTGAGCCGGCCCCGGCCCCGGCCCCCGCTGGCCGCAGGTTGACCGAGCGCCGCCGTCACAGGCCCGCCATTGTGTCCAGAGGTCAGAGCAAACGTTAAATCCGGGGCGAGCAGTCTAAATGGCGAAATCAACGAGCAACATTGTACCCTGGACGGGCAAACAAAACGGTCAGCGAACTGATTGGTCACAAAAGAAAAAGATTTTCTTTCAAACGACGTTAACCAAAACTTCAACCGAATAATAACGGAACTCTGCACAATGGCGCATTCTAGCTCACTGATCAAACCTTGGCATTCAACATAGAACCCTCATCATCAAACATTCTCACCGGATTCTATGGAGTGTTTCACTTTCATTATATTTGTGGCTTATAGTTATAGGTATCTGTGCCGAACCCGATAGTGCAATGTGCATGTATACCGCACAGGCTGGCTTACAGGACCGCTAACCAAACTGGACTGCTCAGAGTGACTTTAACACGGCTATTGCTGATGTGCCTGGCGTTGATTGCGCGAGGTCAGGCAAACAGTTCTGGGAAAACAGCGTTTCCCAGCCTTGCCGACAACCTCCACACTTGGCTGAAGTGGAATGTACAAAGTTTTCAGGAATCTCTGCATTCTCGAGCGCGGAGGGTGCCATCTAATTTTACAAGACGCGGCCTCATACATTTGTAAGTTGTAACGATGCGGATGTCATAGTAAGTAGACGCAATGTCATCATCTACTCGAGTTGAGCTTTTGAGCTTAGTGACATCGTTTCTAATTACAGTGGCAACTGGCATGTCCGTCATTTTAGTTCCTCGACCAACATCATCATGTGAATTCGTTATTCGCCTGTAAATAACACGTTCTTCAAAATTGCTTTTATGAAACCGAAACCTTACTACATGTAATTTGTGCTTATTAAATGTTACAATTGGTCATGCCAGCGCAGTTGTGTTCATTCAGCTTTACGCCTGTGTTTATTTTTATTTTCTGTTCACAACAGCAATAAAATTGCCAAATTGGAGAAATGAGGAAGGAAAACGCGTAGCGTTGGACTAGCTTGACCTCTTAACCGACACCTTCCACCTAATCTCGGTGCGCCGTCTGCTTTGATCAGCTATCAACCGGAGCTAAAAACTTGCGTTACTCAAGTCCTCAGGCGGTATGCGCTGTCCTGACACGACACTTGCGGCGTCCCCACTGTCTCACCATTTCGACTGGACCGTCACGCGACCCCCCCCCCCCTTCCCACCCGTTCGCCTTTGATCGTCCTGCAGTGGCAGCTCGGCTATTTGACTGTAAATGTCAGGGTCAAGGTCAGCTGATTCGTTCAGGTCAAAGGTCCCGGATACAGCTGCGGCGCTGCGATGCGACGAGGAGTTTGCTGGAAGCCTCTAGAGCTTATTTTTATCTAACCAAAGCGCTCACCAGCATAGTTTGCTACACTTCAGCATCGTTCTTGAACAACACGCAAAACAGCATTAACCCGCGCGGGGCTGGGGGGTAAATTTTGCCCCCCTCGCGAATTTTTGCAATATCTCAAAAACGGCGGCGCGCAGCGCCGCCAAACTTTCAGTACCTTTTCTTACATCAATTTGACACGTTCCCTGTAAATTTGAGCGAAATCCCTCGGAAAATTTTTGAGAAATTGACGTTTTAGTGACATCATGTTCGCCATTTTCGCCTCAAAAACGGCAAAAGTTCAAACGCCGCTAACATCCCAGCCAGCCTTCCCAAATGGGGCCCATATGGGCCCCAAGTGGGCAGCAAACTGGGGCCCATCTGGGCTGCCCACTTGGGGCCCAGATGTGTTTGTCATGGGCGTCCAACTGGGTCCCATATGGGCAGCCCAGATGGGCCCATATGGGGCCCAGCCGGGGCACATATGGGTCCCACATGGGCTTTCCCAGCCTGGACCCACATGGGTATAATTGAAGAATCCCACATGGGGCCCATGTGGGTTCGAAATGGGACCCATATGGGGCCCAGCCGGGGCACATATGGGTCCCACATGGGCTTTCCCAGCCGGGACCCACATGGGTATAATTGGAAAATCCCACATGGGGCCAATGTGGGCTCGAAATGGGACCCATATGGGGCCCAGCCGGGGCACATATGGGTCCCACATGGGCTTTCCCAGCCGGGACCCACATGGGTATAAGCGAAAAATCCCACATGGGGCTCATGTGGGTTCGAAATGGGACCCATATGGGGCCCAGCCGGGGCACATATGGGTCCCACATGGGCTTTCCCAGCCGGGACCCACATGGATATAAGCGAAAAACCCCACATGGGGCCATGTGGGTTCGAAATGGGACCCAAATGGGGCCCAGCCGGGGCACATATGGTTCCCACATGGGCTTTCCCAGCCGGGACCCACATGGGTATAAGCGAAAAATCCCACATGGGGCCCATGTGGGTTCGACATGGGACCCATATGGGGCCAGCCGGGTCCCATATGGGCTTTCCCAGCCGGGACCCAAATGGGTATAAGCGAAAAATCCCACCTGGAGCCCATGTGGGTTCGAAATGGGACCTAGCTGGGACCCATACACAGCCAACATTATTACCTTGGCCCCACATGGGGCCCAGGTGGGCCACTTGGTGGGACCCATGTGGGCAGCCCATGTGGGGCCCACATAAATTTGTCCCTGGGTAAATGGTGGGGCCCACCTGGGCTGGCCCACGTGGGCTCAAGGTGGGTACCATATGGGGCCCACCTGGGCTGGCCCACATGGGCTCAAGATGGGTACCATATGTGGCCCACCTGGGCTGGCCCACATGGGCTCAAGGTGGGTACCATATGGGGTCCACGTGGGCCAGCAGATGTGGGCCCTAGGTGGGCCCCATGCTGGCTCACACCTCCCTAGCATCGTTTGTATTAATCAAAAAATATTCACCAAAGCCCATCTTAGTTCCCACCAGAACCTACAATTAATTTCAATATGATTATAACATAATCGATGTCTGCTATTTCAATCACTCCCCCTGATCATTGCTGAACGTTCGCCACCGCAACAAAACAAACTGTCAGTGATCAATAATTATATTATCGATAAACACAAAAATGCTGTTTAAACTCTCTCCTCTCTTCTGTTCATCTCTAGACTTCTTCTCTCATCTGCTCCTCCGCTTAAACTCCAGCTGGTCTCCTCTCCTGGCGGCCTCCGTCGCGGTTTCTGGCACCCGTAAACCACTTTCGTGGCGCCACCTCCAGCTGGCCGTTGTTGGTGTCCTGGGTAAGCCCGTTCCGCCGCACGGCTCCTGTAAAATAAGCACCAGCAATGTAAAATGTGCAGACACATAAGCGAATTGTGTATTGCCCGTGCTGTGTTCTACCATGATTCTGTATTACCTGCATTAAAAGTAACATCTGATTTGACTTGAATAATTGAGAAATGAACTTTAAATATTTTTT